TGTTGTTGATGATTAGGAAAAATTTCATGAATTGAATTTGGCAGGCAGGGAGTTTGGGAATAAGAAATTTTGAGGCTGAGGCTGCTTGGAGCCAGTAGGGACCTCTTTATTCAGATGTATAAACTAATCATATTCTTAACTTGGGCTGTAAGCTGTCAGAATTTTTCCCCATGGCTTACTTTGCCTCCGACACTTTATTTTCTGATACAGCCTCCTTAGTATCTTATATTTATTAATTTTAAATGAATCATTGTAGAGTTAAACTCTTATGTACTAGTTAGGTTATAGGTGGTGAGGATTTCCCGAAGCAAAAAACACACAGAGTATACACTGTGTGAGGCATCATTCATTTATTCCATTTTTGGTTAGAACAAGCCTTTAAGAGTTTGGGTGTTTATGGTTGTTTTCAGAAGTAGATGGTCATGTGGTATACATAAGCAGATGTTTCGTTTTCCAGAAAATCAGTTGAGACTTAAACATGAGAGCTTAACCTGAACTAATACCTGGGTGAAGAACGAGAATGACAAGTAGCTTAGTTCCCAAATAGTCTTCAGAAAAATAGGAACCTACTTTATGTCAGTTCCTTTTGATATGGGTCTTTGCACCTTGGCGAAATGGTTAAGGATCCTGGAATCCATTTTAGTGACAGGATCTCTATAGAAGATCCAAGTGCTCAATCAATCTATTACGACAGAACAAAGACACTGTAATTTCTGGCCATGTATAGGCTACAAAAAAGGGAAACCCCTTTTCATTCTTACCAGGTATGTGGGGAGTCACTTTCATGAGAGAAACCAGTTAGTGCTGCCAGGACACTGCGGACTCCTGCCTATAGTCCCTGGATCATGATGCTCTATACTATGTCCCAGAAGCCTCCTTCACTGTTGCTGATTCCTGAAAAAATACCCTGACCGCACATTCAGGTGGGAGAAACACAATTGACAATATAAAGGAATGCCATGTCCCTCCCCAATTTACCCCAAAACTCCATTGTGTAATGCTTGTAGAGATATAGCTATACCTAAACTTGTTCATTTCCTCTTGGTAAGTGCCCAGGACATTCTTATCCTTACACGGTGTGTACTCCTTCACTCTGTGCTCTTCCAAATGCTCTGTTGTTCTTTTCCATTTTTCTAAATCCCACCTAATTTTTAAAGTCAAACTAAATTTTTACCTCTTCTGTGGAACTCATTTTAACTTTTGTTTTCCTATTTAACTTTACAAGGATGTGTGTCTAGTTTCTCTTACTAATTTGTAAGTTCCTTGCATGTAGGGCCCGTGTATTATTTGTATCTTGGCTGGCAAGGCCAGGAGCAGCCTAAGTTACTGTGACTGTAATGGAGATGTCTATGAACCAACATCCTGCAGAAGAATCCAAGGAAGTTACTAATATTTGTGTCTGGTGATGTCTTTCACTGAACTTAAGGCAAACCTAAGCAATTTGAAGCCTATAGTTCTGTAGGAAAGTGTGAAGGGAGTTCCCAGCCATAAAAAAGGAAATAATAACTCAATAGGTTTGAAGTTTTTGCTGAATGCACTTTAAGCATAATCAATATTCACCCTAAGTACCTCACTGAATAGTCTGAATGAAACCACTGTGTTGCATGTGCTCCACCTTGGCTGGAGAATATCAATGTGTAGACTGTTTTCAGATTGGATTTTATTACCTGCCATAGGTATACCATCTGGGAATAACCTCCACATATGAAGGAGTAGATTATGTTTTTAAATTCTTTACTACCCCTCCAGTCCCACCATCTTCATGTCCAAACCAAGTGTGATACTATTCATTTTAGAATATTATTTAGGACAAAAGGTATAGTAAAAACGAACTAGTAACTCTTTGAAGGGACGTGTTTTAGACTCAGGTACGGAACTGCCACATGCTGCTAGTTTGAGTCTGTCTGGCATCTGGGAGGTTTGGCATATACTGTTGTGAATCCTGTCTTCCTAGGAGAGCTTGCTTAGTGGTACAGTGTTGGGGTTTCTAGCTCATTTTCTTCTGAGGGAAAAACATGTCAAGTTAAACCTTCCAGGATAGAGGATTTGGGGAGGGGGGTTGATGTTGTATCCAAGTGTTAGTGTAGAGCAAATACAGTTTATTTTCTCAAAGGAAGGGAGACAGCAGAGATCATGCCAAGAAAAATACATAGGGTGGGGAAAGAAAATGGGACAAGTCCTTAAAATCAAATCTATGTGGGAATGATCTTCCCCATGATTAGCTCCAAATGTTGGGGTGGGAGGGATGTTGTTTGTTTTTTTCTTCTTTTTTAAAAATTCTTTTGTCCTCGGCTCTTTAGTTTCAAAAGCAGGTTCAGGAAAAGCTTATCGGGAAGTCTAGAGCCATAGGCATTGTAGAAATTACCAGCCCCCAAAAGTCAATATCCAATTACTGTATGTTTTTGGCTCTTCCACATAATTAACCCTGCTGTTTGATTCAAGGGAAGCCAGGGGAAGACCAGGCACTGCTGGATGGCGTATCTCCTTGCTTAACCCTTTATGTTTTGCTGCAAAATTGAATAGCCTGTTTACCTGTATCTATAAGAGCCCAGCATTTTCCAAGATTTCCTTCTACTCCCTCTTGAGAACCAATGTAGAGTATGCCTAATTGAGAGAGAGAGAAAGAGATTACTTTGAATTTGACTAAAAGGGAAGTACAAAGGCTCTTGGTGATTTTGCTTTTTTTTTTTTTAGATTCTATAAAATTAATGTCATGTTTGGAAAATGTTGCTCTGTTTTCTTAATAGATCTCTTGGAAGTATGGCTCTTACGCAGATAGTAATTGTGATTTTTAAAGCTAATATAAATGTGATTTATTTTTTACTTAAAATCAAACCACCTATATCTATGCATAATTTTCCTGAACATTTTGTCAAAGGCAAGTACAATTTTTAATTTGCTACATTTAGTTGTAAGAGAGGTTAAAGAGTAGATTTAGGTAAACTTGCTTGCCTACTGGCATATCTGCAACTGCAAAGTAGTTGTCTGCAGGGATTAGATCTCTGGATGTCCTTGTCTGTCAGGAAAAGCCTTCTGTATATCCAGGAGCTCTCATAAATGTTAATGTGGCACTGTACAGGGAGGCAAGGGAGCAATCTCGTGATTTTCAGTGCACGATGCTGGGGAAAGCCTCTCCCTTGGTATGCGTGGGCGTGTGGGTGAGGGCTGGCTGTGCGGGTGAGGCTGGCTGTGCACTCTGTCTCTCTGGCTGAAGTATGCTTCAGAGCAGCTTTGCCTTTTCAGGCTTGGGTGTGGGGAATCCCTCCTACTCAGAGAATTTTGGGAAATTCCTAAATGCTGATGTGTTTTCAGCTCTAAAATGATAATGCCCTTGTTGGAGTGAGGAGCAAAAAGCACATAGACAATGATTTTAAAACGCTAATCAACCAATTCCTAGTATGTGTGTCTTTTACTTGATAGAGCTGTTCAAGCAGAATTTTGCTGTTGTCAATGGAGTTGGGATTCCATGTAGTACAGGGGTTGCTCTTCTCCTTTACCCAGGACTCCTCCTGCCTCTAGGTATTTAGCATGCAGATGTAGTTTCATGATCCAGCAGGAGACTCTCCCCAATTTCCACATATATTATTACACAGTCAGCAAAGCAAATGGTAGTGGTGGCTGCTCCAAAAAACCCGGCGGTGCTGCTGCCAGCAGTTTTCTAATAACCTTGGTGTCTCTGCAGCAAGGTTAGTGGTTGTGTTTCCTGAAGCTACAACTTTCTTTCTTCTCTCTCTCTGCCTCTATCAGTCTCCCCATCTTACCTTCTCCCCTCTTGCTGCCTCCTGCTGCTTAGGTTAATAAACTTGCCTATGGTATGCAGAGAGACTAGTCAGACATGCCTCTTTAAAACACATTTTAGATTTTTTTTTAAATGTGCATGATAGAAGTATATCCCAATGTTCAAAAATATCCTGTGACTGTCACAGTTAGTGGGAGATTAAGGAAACAGAATATAAAATAGCCAAATATATTCTAGGGAGTTATGCTTGTTGAGTAGGCATTTATCTGAAAGATTGAAATGAGCTTCTTTTGTGTGTTGGCATATAATCCAGAATTGCAAGTTTATTCACTTTTAGTGTTCATGTAAAATTCTGCTACTGGCTCATTTCATGGATATAAAGGTTTACTTTATCTCTGACTTGTATCTGTAGAAGACCTTTACTAGGATAGCAACATTCACATTGGTTTTATTTGTAAGAAAAATGTTGTTGTGTATGTATAGCCACTTATTTTAATTTAGTGTCAGTTGTCAATGTAATAGTAAAAATGAAGAGAATCCTTTTAGAAAGGAGATTTTTTATATTATAGAAATCAAAGGAGTGTTGTTCAGCAATTCTTAATTAATAGGTGTTTACTGAATGTATACTATGGGAATGTATTGAGCATGTTAGAGATTCTAAAGAAGAATACCACATCCTTTCCTATGAGAAGTTTGAGGAGATGAAAGTTATCCGTGGAACAGTAAGTGAACAAGACTGTATGAAATAAGGTATTATGCTGTGCAGTAGTAAAATTTCAGGAATAGGATGATATAATGGACTGATTTGCCACAGAGATCATTTCATTAGATGTAAGACTGGTGTTCAGCGATGTCACCCAGTTTAGTTAATGTAGTTCTGTCTAGCTGTTTGTGGAATTCTGGCTAGTTTTTGGATTTTTTTTGGTTTTTTTTGAGACAGAGTCTCCCTCTCTTGCCTGGGGCGAGTGCCGTGGCGTCAGCCTAGCTCACAGCAACCTCAAACTCCTGGGCTCAAGCGATCCTCCTGCCTCAGCCTCCCAGGTAGCTGGGACTGAAGGCACCCGCCACCATGCCCGGCTAATTTTTTTTCTATTTTTAGTTGTTTGGCCAATTTCTTTCTATTTTTAGTGGAGACAGGGTCTCGCTCTTGCTCAGGCTGGTCTCGAACTGCTGAGCTCAAACAATCCGTTCGCCTCGGCCTCCCAGAGTGCTAGGATTACAGGCGTGAGCCACTGCGCCCGGCCAGTTTTTGTTTTTTTAGATATGGTTCTATCCTATCTTGTTTGGTATTTGAACACATCAACATAGAGTGAAAAGTCACTGTTTTTGTGGCCTAAAAATGAGTCACATAGTAGAAAGAGATGAGTTTAGAATCAGATATGTGTGATTTCAAATGCTGGCTGTGCTAATTCTTAGCTCTGCCCTCTCTGAGCTCAGTTTTCTCATTAGAAGAATGAGGATAATAGTTACTAATTCACAGATTTGTTGGGATTAAATTATTTTGAAGCACAAAAACATTGTTTCCCCAGTTTTCTTACTAAATCCAGTCGTCTAGGAAACATGCCCTGATTGGTAGAATATATGAGTTTGAAGTTTTAGGTATTTCCCACAGCACCTGTTCCTGTGCAAATCACCAGATTTGTGCTTTCCTACTCTGTTATAAATCTTTACATCACAAATGTCAAGTAGCAAAATAGCAAAAAATATTTATATATGGGGAGATAGGGATTTTTCAAGGACTATATTTTAATCTCAAACTTAAAAGGATAAACTCCTATCAGTTTAATAATGTAACATAAAATTATTTTCATATTAAGCTAAACAAAGCATAATTTGAAAGACAGATCTGCTGCCTTTGTACCTTATAACATTTCCTTCTGAATCCAGCTAAGGGCTTATATCTGAAAAGCCTTCTGTGGCCACTCCAGCCCACAAAATCTTTCCTCATTGAAAATTTGATTTCTTTTGCTTATATAAATTTCACTGGGTTTACCTTTTATTGGCATTTAAACATTGTTATGAAACAATGTGTTTTCATTTTTATGGGTTGTATCATGCCTTGCTAATTATTATTGTAACCTCTTAGTTATCATGGACTTTGTCTTAGAATTCTTTATTTTCCTGACAATACCTCACTGGTGCTCTGTACATAGTAAGTGCTGAGTTTATACCTATACTTGAGGAAAATGATAACAATTGTCAGGAAACAAGAACAGATTCTATTCTGTATTCCAGTCTGTGGGGGAGGTTCTGGCTTATTCATTCAATAGGTATCCAGCCCTTACCCAAACAAATAGTTGTTGACTTTGAGTATATGACTCAAGTTGGTTAAATAACTCAGTGACTGCTTACCAGTGTAGCAGTGAAATGATGGGATTATAGTGCAAACACATAGGTAGACTGGTATAAATGGTTGTATATAAAAACTAATGATGAGTGAAGTTCATCTAGTGCATTCTATTCGGAAATTTTATACCATATCCATAATGCTAAGAGATACGTAGAGAAGAATGTCTTTTAAAAATCATTTTGTATTTTGTGTTGTCACCTAGAAGCACATCATGAGTAGGTGACTCATGACAGAGTACTTGCTTGCTAGTCTATAATATCTCCTATTTTAAAAGATACTGCAGTGGAGCAGGTGGTTTGTTGGAATAAACCTCACATTTTCTAAGTAAGGACTGAAGAGAGTAAGGGCTGGATATGTCTGAACCCCTTCCTCTGACAACAGTCTAGAATGGAGTGTGATGTCTTGGAGCCAGTTTTGCAGTTTTCTTGAATCTCTTATGTCTTGTTATCTTTTTCCCTAAGTGAAAAAATAAGACTATATTTAGTTCCTGTAACTTGATCGTTTGTGCTTTCTAAAATGATTATTATGCCTACTCCTTGAAGCTTGTTAGGTGTAGGTTTGGGGCATTAGATGAGTAAAAAGTAGAGGACAGGCTTGAAACTTCTCACCATTTTCTTGGGTGACTTGACCAGCTCTGACAATGGGGTTGAAAGGCCAGAGACTTTAGAAACATCTAAGGCTGCAGTCCCCAACCCCTGGCTGTGGACAGGTACTCGTCCATGGCCTGTTAGTAACTGGACCAGGCCTGTTAGTAACTGGACCACACAGCAGGAGGTGAGTAGCAGCAGGTGAGCCAGTGAAGTGTCATCTGTATTTACAGCCACTCCCCAACTCTCGCATTACCACATTAGCACCGCCTCCTGTCAGATCAGCTGCAGCATTAGATTCTCATAGGAGCACAGGTCCTACTGTAAACTATGTGTGCAGGGGATCTAGGTTGCACGCTCTTTATGAGAATCTAATGCCCGATGATCTGAGGTGGAGCTGAGGCAGTGCTGCTAGTGCTGGGGAGCGGCTGCAAATACGGATTATCATTAGCAAAGAGGTTTGACTGCACAATAAATCATCCCCAAACCATCCCTCCCACACCCCACCCTGGTCCATGGAAAAATTGTCTTCCATGAAACCAGTCCCTGATGCCAAAAAGGTTGGGGACCGCTGATCTAAGGTACTTAAGAATATAATCTTAGCACAAGAGGTACTAAGATGTTTTAGATCTAAATTATATAATTCAAGTTTTCTTATTGCTAGCATGTCTACCAGTTAATATCTAAAAGAGCCAAATGGCTTGAATTTGAGTGGTTGCCATTACATATTAGCTATAATACAGCATTCCCAAAATGTCTGTTGTTTCTGTGGTATGTTTAGATACATTAACGTTAGGTTCATGTCAAGTAAGTACAGGAACTTATAAGAATTTATAATACTAACTTTATATCATTTTATAGTCTAATAATCGTCTTGTTTTGAGCTCTAATTTTGTTTTGGGGGGAACTGCTCTATTTTCATACTATATCCAGATTAAGTAAGATTAAACTGTATTTGACATACAGTTTGCTCTTCTGCTCACCTCAAATGTAAGATTGTGAGGTTTATCTCCAGGATTCCTAGTTTACTCTATTTCCATTAATCCCTGTTAAGACTCGTTCCCTCATTTTTCTCCATCAAATTTCTCTAACATGTAAGATTGGTGAAGTTTATCTCCAGGATTCCTAGTATACCCTTTTATTACCTTTAAACCCTGTTAGGACTTCTTCCCTCATTATTCTCCCAAGAGAATTTTGCACCCAAGAAAAAGACTATCAGTATCTTAATCTTCGTAACTTTCTTGGGATTCTGAAATTAGATTCATATTTCCAGTCATGGCACAAAAGTAGTTATCCTCTTTTAAAGACATTTGAGACTTCACCAAGCCACTTAAATCACACATACAATATGGAGCAGTGGAAAAGAAATGAGAAAACCACTTAGCATAATTAGAGATCTTCACAGGATGTTAGTTCCTCTTATTACTACATAGCCCACCAGCCATTTCCGGTTACACAGTTCTGATGTATTAATATTTCTGGCTTTGGTTCTGATTTGGACAGTGGCTTGATTCATCAGACTTTATTGGAACCTGTTCTATACCATGCACATCATAGACCATGTAAACTGTAGATGTACACATTACAGTTTTGAATTCTGTGGGTCTTTCTTAATCCTACAGCATTGCATTCCCAACACCAGCATTTTGGTCTAGGCCTAGTATCTGTTTTTCATGTTGCAAAGTTCAGCAAAGGAGATGAGGGAAAAGACAGTCCCTGAACTTGTATCCCTTGAACGTTGGCTTTTTCCGTAGAAACAGGAGGGAAATAATTTTTAGGAAATTACAGTGCCTCCTGTCTTCCTTCTTCCACCCCACTTAGAGGAGGGGGGAGAAGCTACATGGGGTGTTGTGTGTGTTCTGTACCTCTCAGAAGCCTAAACAAACATGTAAAAATTGTTAATGGAATGAGATCCAAGATGAATCAAATGCACTCCTCTTAGAAATTGTGGTATTAAAAAGAAGACTTTGCAAGATAATGCTGATGTGTTTTATTTTTGAATTCCATTATTTTGCAGATGAATAGAGATGAAGGTTTAAAAAGGTATAGAGTTGAAATATTAAATTCCTATTAAATTGAATCTCTGCTTGATGAAATAACCATGGTTATTCCTGGGATTCCCTGGTATTTATTTATTTATAGATTTGTATCTAGGGAAGTCTGAGGCTACATAATAAAAGCTGCTAGGCATGCTGTATGCTATTAAACTCAGAAAACTTTGATTGCATAAGTATTTTTGTGAATAACAGCACTTCAGTTGAAATGCTCTCAAATCCTAGGGTCTCAAATCCTGTATATATTTTAAATTATAATAGTACTTTTCATTTTGATTATAGAGAAATAAGAAAAAAGAAATATATTGTGGTCTGACAAAGATCAGATATTTTAGAGACATTTCAAAATCTTGAAAGACTTGGTATATGATTAGTGGATACTCTTCAGAGTGATTGATCTCCCCAGAAGGAATAGTTCATATGATATATTCTTGATAGTCTTAGAAGTTGGGCAAGGGGTGGCAAGAGTATATTAAAATTTAAAGTGAATTGATCTTCTCTTTGAGAGCTAAGACGAGGTGGCACATTTTGCCTTTGTTGTCCTGCCTTGTTCTGAACAGTGTCAAGTTAGTGATGGGTCTCATATCATTTTAGATCCTTTAAATTATGAAATGCCTTAATGTCTTAAAATCAAATGTAAGTCTAAAGCTCAGCTGCTGGCTGGAGGTCTCTTATTGTAGTTAAAAAGTTGCGCAAAATGGACAAGATAGAATCTTAACTTAGCCGTGTATAGACTACAAACCATAATCGTTAGTATTCATTATTTCACTTCTTTCTGATTTTTTACTCTCTACACAACATCCCTGTCTATACTCCATCCAGGGAAGAGTGTCACTGGTTTTTATGCTGGTGCTTGGATGAATTCTTTTTAGAGAATGTTTCTCTTTTTAAAAGCAATGCTTAAAAGGATATGCCTTTCTCTCTCTCTTTCTTTGAAGTTTCATCCTAATTACATTGCCTATTTAGATATAGGGAAAGTTATTTTTATTTTTATTTTTTTGATCATCAGGAAGCCTGTCAGCCCAATGTGCTTTCCCATAGTTATTGAAATGCCACAATCACCAGGTGCAACAAATCTGAATAATTTAAACTGTTTGAGTGCAGGTATACTGTTGTAAAATTATCTCTGCACCTTTATATAAGAATATGAAATTGCATATATTTATTTTAATTTTTTCCTTCTGAACATGTTTTATGTAGAAAATTGTTTCTAAATGCAGAAAGCTAATAAACATTTTAAATGATTCTATCCAGAAGAGATTGCTACCTCAGTTC